AGTCCACTTGCTGTATCTGTTTAGACTGCTCCAGTTAGCACACTCTACAACAATGCCTGAACAGAGGTCTGAAAGATTATTTTGGGCACTACCCCAAAAACCAGAACTGATCTGCACAATTTGGCTACTTTCACTCTAAATAGTCCATTACCTCCTGGGGCTTTTTCCCCCCAAGGATTTTGGCTTTTCTCTCATGTAACTTCCAGGGTTTATCATGCTGTGAAAACACTCCTCTGCCTGGCTGAAGTTCAGACACCAAATTGTTTCAGACACATTCAGCTGAAAAATCACAGAAACTGGTAACCATACAATAGAGCCAAGGAGTTACAGCATAAGGCCCAGGGGGTTGAGTGTGATGCAGCGTGGATGAAGCTGCTGTGCTTAGGATAGCCAGCCCTTGGCACAATAAGTGCCAAATGGTCTCCAACAGGTGCCTTTAGAGAGGAACAAACATAATCACCCCACAGTTTTCTTTAGTTACCAGTATAGTCATAGTCCATGTCTCCAGATAGAAATGCATTTTTAGTTTATGAAATCTATCGAATGAACCAGCAACAGATTTCTAAGAATTAATGGAAAAGTGAGCAGCTTTTAAGCTTTTTTTTTTTTTAAGGCTGAAGACAATTAACAACCCAGAAACATGAAAAGCAGGAGATTCAGATGCCATTGCTATGCCAATTCCAGTAAGCTGAATGTGCCTGGGACAGTTCTGTGTCACAGATGCAAAGCAGTATGAAATGATCTTTGACCTGTTCCAACATGTTTTACCTCACTAGACAGGACAGTGGCATGCAAACTGCTATCTCAGAAAGTCCTGTGGCATGTGTCAACCCATCATAGATGTTGAGAAAATTAGCACAGGACCAGTCTGAGTGGGTTATTGAGACCTGGGTTCCAAAGAGATCAAGAATCACCTCCTCCAAAGTCAAGAATGGTTCAAGAATGGTTCACCTCAGAGAGCAGAAGCTAAAGCTAGAGTGCACGAGGAGATGCTGACAAAACTAATGTGGAAATGAAACATACAAGGGAGGGAAGAAGGGACCTTGGAGAAAGGTAGTGACACTTTGGAAGCATGCCAGATTGCAGATAAGAAAGAAAAACCCACCTGGACTTTATCAGGCAAGGATTGTGAAGGGCAACAAAAAAGGCCTCTACGGATATATCAAAAACAAAAGAAAAAAAGTAGGTTAGGACATAGGGTGGTGAAAGATGTGGAAATAGATGAGGTAGTCAATGCTATCCTTATACCAGTCTTTAGTGTTATTCACCAGCCTTTGTGAGACTCAGCCCCCTGCAACGGAAAAAATCCTTGATGGAGTAGGATCAGACATGTGGCATGTTTGAAAAATCGGACATGAAAAAGTCCATTATTACAGAGGAAAGAAACATTATTACAAAGGAAATTTCTGCTCCTTTAAGAGCATTTAGTCAAGGACATTTTCACTGTAAACAAAAGGGATAAGAAAAGGAGGAAGACATAAACAACAACAAACAGGGACACACTCCTAAGTGAAAAATGACTGGGAAGACAGTGATAACAACTAAACCTAGTCAGTCATAATAATTGATGAGGACATGTGGGAGTGTTTGAATGTTTATTCCAGTAAGGTTAGCTCGTTGATGATCTTGCCAATTGGAAAACAAAGTGAAAATAAAGAAAGCAGAAACAAAATACACCAAACACAAATGTGGCAAAACATATATAGAGACAAGGAAAAGAAGCAAACCTCCCAGTCACACTAACTGATGACCTATCCGGAAATTACAGACCCTACTTCCAGAAAGATCAACCTGAATATTGCAACTGATAAGACTGTAAACCAGGGGAGACCCAGGCTGGACAGGTTGTGAGCATCAGTTGAGGCACATGTATCACAATATGTAGGGAAAAGAGGATCAGAAAGGAACTAAAGGGAGGTCGACAAAAAGTACTATGAAAGGTGCTGTGTGTGTGAAATGAGCCTTATGCTCAGTGTGTTCGGTTTTACTAAATCCTTTCTTTACAATCTCTCAATGTAATCTGTGGTTTTCAAGGCTGATCTCATAACCTTCAAACTGAATGATATATGGATAGTGAGATACACTGACAAACAGCTCTTGTGCTGCAACCAACAGATCACGATCATCACTGTGAAGTCCCCAAGAGGCAAGTACTGTATTCCAAGGGTTGACACTGATTCCAATAACACAGTGCACTCTCAGCAAATTTGCTGATCATATAAAACTGGGAGGGGTGTTTGGCAACCATAGGGTTGTACTGGAGAACAGGGTGGAAGAACTAATGCTGTTAAACAAAGGCAAAGCCAAAGTATGGAACCTGGGGATGAATAACCCTGCACCAACATCTGGTGACCAACTGCAAAGTAGCTCTGCAGAAATGGTCCTGGCAGTCAAGGTGGACGAACCGTCAATGACACAGTGGTGTACCTTGCAGTGAAGAAGGCCAACAGCATTCCAGGCTGCCTTAGGAGAAATTTTCTCAGCAGGTTGAGACAGGTAATGCATCCTCTCTGCTCAGCACTGATGAGATGAATCTGGAGTGCTATGACCAGTTCTAGAGTCCTTAGAACAAGAGAGATACAGAATTAATGGGACAAATTCAGCAAATAGACACAAAAATGGGACACAAAGATTCTCTAATGGGCTGGAGTATCGGACATAGAAGACAGGCTGAGGGAGCTACGGTTGCTCAGTTTCAAAAAAGGCACATTCAAGAGGTTCTTATCAAAGTGTACAAACATCTGATGGGGGCAGGGGGTAAAGAAGACAGAGACTCTTCCTCAAGGTATGAAGTGATAAGAGAAGAGGAAATGGATACAAATTAAAAGACAAGCAATTCCACTTGAATATAACCTATTTTTGTTGTTTTTTCTGACAGTGGTCAAACACTGGAACACATTGCCCAGAGAAGTTGTGTGTCACAGTATATTGGGAACAGCGAGAAGCACAACACGGACTCTCTTGTGAGTTGAACAGGAGAGCAAGGTTTATCACCCCAAATCTTCTTTTATAGACAGATACGTGAAAGTACAGAAAAGTAAAACTCTTATTGGTTAGTGAACTAACACATCACCATCATTGGTCAGTGGGGTTCACCACACTTCGGCCTTCTCTTGCAAGAAAACAAGGAACAGACAAACAGCACCTGCAAGGCTGTCTTCTATCTCTGAGGATTGTTTTAATTCCTCCTTATGATTTCCCAGGCCCCTTTCTCAGGTGAGTCTCACAAAGTTATGTGGCCTGCTTTTCCACAGGCACTGTGCTCCCTGCTTGCTGCTTGCATTTAGCATTCATAGTTGTGGAGTCTCCATAGGATGTTAAAAGTATGACTGGCCAAGTAACAAGCTTACTTGGGCTGGCCTTGCTCTGAGAAGGGGATAGGACTAGATGACCTCAAGAGGTGCCTTTCAAGCTCATCTGTTCCACAATTCTGTGACTCTTTGCAAACATTTCTTGAGTTACTAGAATGGATAAAGCCAATATGACTGACTATTCATAGCAGCAACATAAAAAGTCATTCCACTTTTCCAAATAGTTAAAAAACTAGACAGGTTTTTTTAAATATTAAATTACTCATTAATGAAGATTAATCACTCTGTTGTGATTTTTTGTGAATGAAACTGTTAATGGAAGAAGACAGTCATTACCAAAAATAATTAATTCAGCATGTGTAGTTCATTATTTCTTTTTTAATCTTAATCTAGCAAATAAGAAAGAAAACATGAAATCAACACCAAGTGATCCCATCCTAATAGTCTTTATATTTTACAGCTTTTCTTGCTTTTAAATTGGCTGCAGATTTCTCATATATATTTTTCAATATGTACTCTGAATCATTCTGAAAGTTATTCCTGTTCCACTTAGTTTATGCAAACAATACATAGCATGTTTTAAGAATAATAACTTATAGCCTTCTGCTCAGGAAATAGAATAAGAAAAAAGGAAAGGGAAAGAAAAAGGCGTTTATACTTTGAAGGGTAGAATATAGATTTAAATTGTTTGTGAAATGTTCTAAAAATCAGCTGAAAACTTTAGTTTCCAATATGGGCAATGATATTGAATTTAGTATCAAAGAGAAGATGAGAGTAGAAAATTAAAAGATTCACTTCTGAAATGACAGTAAAATCAAGCAACTTAATGCAGTCAGGGATGAAACATTGTCTCCTGAAGAAAACTGCAAATGAAATTGCAGTTGTAATGGCAACATTTTTCAATAAATGCATCAAGTTACAGATATTTCTAGGTAATCAAGGAACAGCAGACACAGCTCATAAAATGATGGACAGTTACTGGACAGTAACAAAGCAGGCCTTAAAGGTACTCAAAGCTTTAGAAGGTATTTGGAAGGGAAGAATAATTAGAGACATGAAGGAAAATGCTAAATGGGGTAGATGATACAAGGCATAGATTGTGAGCTATAAATCCTTCTTTGGCACATACTTTTCAAGTAGTGAAATGTAGTAGATGAAACATGTCTGGATTTCAGTGAAGCAGATGACATGTTGCCACAGGAGAAATTACTCATTGAACTTGAGAAGACAGCAATTCACAGGTAGAATTGAAAGTTGAAAAATTAGGGTTACTACAGCAAAAAACCTCATGGGACAATTTGAAAAATAAATTTATTTCATATTTTAATATTAATATAATATTAATATTATAGATAGTATATCTATAGTATCTATAGGGAGGGGAGGGGANGGAGGGGAGGGGAGGGGAGGGGAAGAAACCAAAACAAGATAAAACTTTAGAAATGCATATTAAAGCGAGAAGAAAAAAATCAACAGATGGGGGAAAAGCAGTGCAAACAAAAATGTCAAATACGATCTAAAAAGTGTTCATGTGAGGACAGATATGAAATAAGACACTCATTAACCTTTGTGTAAAATACCCCACACAGTTTTGTTCATCTGTGCTTAAGAAAGATTAGCTCAGATTTCATGTCTGTAAAAGAATTTTTATTAAGAAGACTTTGGGAATAGTAATACATCTTACTACTATATGATTAGAAGACAAAAGAGCATGGCTTGCTTATTACAGAAAAAATGAAGAAAAGGAGGTATTGCTCTGTAAGTCTGTTAGAGAAAATATCAGCTAAGGATTCATGTAGGATGTTCAGAAAGCCAAGAATACATTTATCTCAGTGTTGAAAAAATTGAAAAAAATCTCTCACATACTGGAATTGGAATTCAAAACCAGTTTTCAAATTAAAAGCAGACTTTCAGCTTCTTTTAAGCAATCATATAAACTCTGTGAACCGCATTGGATTAAATGGTTGCCTGTGAAGAACTCCACTGGATTCAAAAATGCTGGAGGTAACTTCGAACTCTACGTTCCTGTAAGAGATAAAAGAAACTTTCAAGCTGAGCATCATAAGCCATTATATACCTGATAATATCATCAGCAGCTCTTTCTTCAGCCCTTTTCAACACCATCAAATCTTCACAGACTAGAAGCAAGATTAAAACTTTCTAAATATCAGGTAAAGAATAAAGTGTTTACTGCACCAGTTTTACAGTCATGCACACTGACAGACTTTAAGGCCATGTCGACATCTTACACAATAAAGATAACTCTGCTAATTGTGTGGGTAGGAAGAAACAGTCTAATATGGACTTTCTGAACTGTAATTGGCTCAACTGGAAAAGGTAAAAAAAGCAGCTGGTATCCATCCATCAGAGAGGGTTTTTTTTGTTTTGTTTTTTGTTTTTTTGGTTTTTTGTTTTTTCTTAATTTGGAGCATGAAAATCTATTCATTGTTGTAGTGTCTTATGGACCATAACCATTTCCAGTAACAGAATCCACATAACTGAAATCTCCACTGTTGCTTGTGAAAGATTAATGTCAGCAAGCAAATTCTATACTTTTAAGTAGCTTAGCATCTTAGCTATTCACTAAGTGGAAGGCAGTGTGACTGCTATAAATTGAGGACAAATAAATTTGTAAACACTGGCTAGGACATATTCATCTAGCACTTTCTCAGATTGGGGCATCTCTTGGAATCCTTTGAAACTAGGGCATGGATTGTGAGAAGTCACTGAAACCCCACCTCTTTCTGTGATTAAAGGTAAAAAATAGACAGTGCAACTTTGGTGTCACCAGCTCAGTGGGAGGGGGTTTATACCTTTTAACTAGACACTCTTCAATTTTCAAGAAGGTTAGAAACTCCTGTGGCTGAGGTCATGAAGCAACTGCCTTCCATAACCACAATGACAATTATAACCACTAAATTTTGGAGAAAATTATGTTTCAAATTTTTAGTCAAATTTGACTACTGAAGGAAGATCCCTGTTAGCATTTTGAAGGAAAAGCTGACAAAAGAGCTTAAGGAATGTTCAAAGGATAGAGGGATATGTTTGAAGTCTGTTACTTTCACATTCTGTGTCATTTTACAATGATCATGCTGATTCTAAGAACAGGATTAATGAGAAGAGTTTTTAGAAGACTATATTCATAATAGCAACGTTTTATAGCCATTGCAGTACAGTTAATATTTTGAGTGACTGATTCTTATGAGAGATATCTGAAGCATATCAAATGAGTCATGACATACAACTGTCTCTCTGTAAATTTAGAGGGCACACTTTAAGTGCACAAACATAGCATCACAAAGTAATTTGGATTGGAAGGAGCTTGTGTGGGATATCTGTCTCAACACAGTTCAGATTGCTCAGTTTGAATGGAATTTGGAATATCTCCACTGGTGGAGACTCCATAACTGCTCTGGACAGCTATTTCCAGTGTTTGATTGTCCTCATGCTGAACACTGTTTTCCTAATACAGAATCAGAACTTCCCTCAGTAAATTGTACTTGGGTCTTTCGTCTATCACTGTGCACATCCCAAAAGAATCTGGCTATATATTCTTCACATCTTTCCATAAGGTAGTTGAAGGCAGCAGTAAGATATCCTCTGTCTTCCAGAATAAGCCCAGTCCTCACAGTCACTACCTCTGCACTATGCTCTCCAACTCCCCATCATCTTGGTGGCCTTTCATTGGATTTACTCCAATACATCAGTGTTTTTTCTTTAGGATGTTGAAGGTGTATGCAGAACAGACATATGGGAGAAGGTATCTACAGGGGCAGGCCTGTGTCTGAGTGTAAAATCCTAAGTATCAAAAACTGATACATGACCTAAATAAGCAAGTGAATTGCACCACAAAAGTTAAAAATAATTAATTTCTATGCTGGAAACTTGTTTCTCAAGAAGCTAGTTAATTTGATAATTTCCTGGGCTTTTAGTGGTATGCTTTTTCCAGATTACATTCTGCACACCATTTCACCAAGTCAGGCAAGTCTAATTTCTCAAAAGTCCACATTTCTTTTTTAACAATGTAGTCCATTGCTGTGGTCCATAAATCTTCTGTATGAAAGCCAAGCACAAAATATTCAAAGGAACACATTTCATTTGTTCACAGCATAAAGTATTCTTCATTCAACATAGTCTAATTAACTTCTCATCCAGATATCCAAATTCTCTAATATGAAAAGTCTGTCACTAGAAGAAAGGTCTAAGCTGATTTCCTAAGGAGGTTATTGACTTTTTCTTAAAGATAAGCTATCAGCTGGGTAGTAAAGTCCACTATCTTATAACCTGAATTGTTTCAGTGATGATATAGATTGTTTTCACTTAAAGTAATAAAAACAATAAAAAGAAACAAGAAACAGAAAAAAATGGAAGTGCACGAGTGAGATGCATCTTCAAGTAACACTTTTGCTCATAATTTAGTAATCTTAAGGCCAATACCAAGGTTTTTCACTCAGATAATACTGCCATGGACTTCAAATTCAAATTCAATTTCTTACTTAGATCTCTCTTCAATCTCTTTGAATACTCTCTGTTTGCTCATTCACAGTGTTGGCACAAGTAGCTCCACCAAATAAGTCCTTTGGATAAAAGACCTTGTAGCAATGCAGCATACCCTTCTTTAATAAATGGGGTTCTATAGAAGCTAAATGTGTTATAAAGAAAGTTTTTATATGTGATATAATCATAAATCAGGAATGTGCTTTACCGATTACTCTTGCATTTTGTAATCATGTTTGTTGCAAAGCTTTTTTCCAAACTTACAGACGTAGCTATATGGTTTTCTCTCTGGCAATTTAGAGAAATTCTGAACTGTAATTATTTTCCTTAATAAATGTGTTTTAACATATTGTTACAGATTCTAGAAGCATCTAACAAGATGTCCTGAAAAACAGTGCTGAAGCAGCTATTATGGTTATAAAAACTTTTGAGTCAATAGTGATTGAGTCCAAATTAAAGTAATAAAGTAATAAAACTCTGCATCTGAAAAGAATCTTATCTGATTCCTAAGGTATCTGCAAATGTATCAAATTTTAAGATATGGTTATTACAGTAATTTACACTTCTCTGGGCAAAAATGTGCTGGGAATTGATGAGACAGTCTACCACTATTTCTCTCTTCTTATTTAATTTTAAAAGTGTCAATGATTTTTAAGTTTTCCTTCTCTTTTGAATTGCTCTTCAGCAAAAACTGACCAAGGGCTAAAGGTAAAAGGTACTTAAATCAGGAAAGCAAATGAATCTGCTGTGTCTGTTAAATTTCTTTCCTCTTTCTCAATTATTTAACCAAAATGTGCAGTAAACAAAATCATGCATCTGGGGATAGGATTATCTGGTATAAAGTAAAAGAATGACAGGATTTGCAGACTTTCTAAATTAAATTGTGTGATTCATGGATTTTCTAAGGGTCTGAATTACTTTCAAATGAGGCAGACACTTTATGCTTTCTAATCCTTCTTAGGAAATAAACAAGAAAAATACGCTGATGTAACTTTTTCTAACATTACAGTCACACAAGTGCTTTTCAAAAACATGCACCAATCACTTTATTTCTTATTTTTTTAATTGCAGACTTTTAAATAGATTTGGGAGTTTTTGGTTTTGGGTTTTGTTTGGGTTGGTTTTTTTTTCACTCAGTCAAAAATTTCTGAAAGGATTTAAAATAACCTCCCTTCTTCTGTCTGGTACTAGACCTTGAAGACTACTTGGAACAATCCTCAGCTATTCATACTTAAGGGTTCTCAGACACAAAAATAAATGTCATTATTTGAGTGCTTATTTGGTGAGGATGATCTTACAGGAACGGGAAGGAGGCACTGAAGTTAATCCTTATGATTTTATTAATTGAAATATTATTTATTTATAGGAGATTAATTTATTTTTATTTCTTAACTTTTGTTTTAATATATGAGAAATGAACCTTAACTGCAAAACTGTGCACAAACAGGCTTGAAGTATTTAATTTGAAGCATGGATATTTTTCAAGTATGGGAATTTTTCAAGAGTAAAGGAGACAGGGAGGTTGTATGGTTGTGTGAGCAAAATCCTGTCCCTTACATTCAGTCTGTACCTGTGAATGCTGTGAGACCAGCAGCCAGGCTCTAAAAGACTGGTGCTCTAGTCACACAATCACATCAGTCAGATCAGCTCAGAACTGAGTTATATTAACAAGGATACTTTCCTGTGTTTTCTTTCACCTATTGTCAAAATGTCCTTCCAGCAGAGTAAAGCACTGTCAGGATGATCTGAGGTGAAGAAAAACAGAAATAGAATGTTTGCATTCTAACTCTGAGAAAAGTAAATTGTTAGTAGCTGCAGGGAATTAGGTATTTTCTTTCCAAACAGCATATATTTTCTATTATACAAACATACAGTGGGAGTAGGGGGAGAAAAAACACTAAAATAAAACACAGTGTCTATTACAAGGAGTGGAAGAAAAAGGTAACACATAAGTGCACATGTTATATAAGATCAGAGTCACCATATAAGAACTCAGAATTTCTCTCTTTCCTCTTCCTTTTATTCCCAGTTTTTCCATCCCAGTACATCTATACACATCAGGGTCAGGGTCTTTCAAGTTTTTCATCAAACTCTACACAACTTGATCAGAGACAGGGTTTTATGTAAGATTTATATGGACAGAAAGATAGTGAACTAACATATGACAATAATCCAGACTGCTTCATTGTATTGACTATATAAAGCAGGGTATAATTGCTGAAACCCCAGAAAGAAATTAAGCATTATGAAAAAATATAAAACCAATTATTGAACAGAAGGGTTTACCTTCACCAAATGCAAGGAAAATATTATTCTCCTTTGAAGAAACAAATGCATTATCATTTACATAAATAAATGTCTGCAATATATTTCAGGCCTGAGTTTTTGTTCATGATATGCTTCAATATTATATGCTTCATATGCTACCACAGTTACAGACATGCTGGTTTTATTTTTCTTCCTTTGACCTTCCAATGAGATACTGACAAGAAGAAAATAATTTTTCCTATTTACCCGATTTTAGCTGAGAAATAGACCCATTTAAGAAGGTAACTTGCTGTGACTGTGATGCATCATCAACTTACTGTAACCTTAGGCATGCTTCTTGTGTCCTTAAGCTCACCTTCCTTAAACTGAGAGAATGGGGACAGAATAAAATGTCTTTAGGAGACCAGAGTTGCAGAAAATAACTGCAAAGGATTAACACTTTTCATTTCTTTAGACAAATGCATAGATCTGAAAATCCCACTGCTCTTTGTTCTGCGTCTTTGAACAGAAGAGTATGAATTATTTTTCTGTCTTCTTATTTCAGTTTAAAACTGTTAACACACTGTTAACATGTTTTTATTGTTTTTAAGTCATAAGATGTCAAGCATTCCTGTTTTCCTGAGGATCAGCAGCCAAAGATTATTTTTCTACAAAATGGAATACCATTTCATAAAAGTTTTAAAAATAAATTAACTTTATACATAGACTCTATAATAAAGCAAAGAGAGCAAATAGCTTTGATGATAAGATTATTTGTTGGTTCTAAGAAAACCCTTTGTTTAGTCTTAGAAGAAAGAAAATTCTTTGGTTTTTTAACAGGTTTATCAAATTTCACAGAAGTGTTTTCATGTGTTTATTTTAAAAATTTATTTTAAAAAAATTGTTTTCCCGTCTTCTATTTCTCTACAAGTAAATCTAAATGTAAAGGAAGAAGATTTAAATACAATGAAGCTGTATTTAGAGTTAACCGTAAAGAAAGAGCCTAGGTATCCTATATGCCTTCTTTGTGACAGAGGATGGAGAAAAACATGAGAGGCAGAAGTAAAACTGCTATCACTTCAGCTTCCATTCAAACCAACACTGTTTACAGGACCTTCTATCATTACCATTTTAGCTTTCATATTTTTATCTGCTTGTTGACAATTAATAGGTGAGTTTGTGCGTTGGCCCTCGAGGTTTCATTTCCCTGGAAATGGTAATAAAAAAAGACTCCAGCAGGCATTGAAAAAAAAATATTTACATGTCCTTTTTTCAATCAAAATTTCATATGCAGCAAAAGTGGAATCAATTACAGCTATGTAGAAAAGAAAGAAAATTGACATTTAGTCCCAGGGACTTCCAGAAAATAATTCATGAAACATTTATTACATCTTTCTCATTCTAGTAACTGTAGAAAGTTAGCAACAGAGCTTTAGAGAGTAACTGTGTGTCCATGTCTTCAACACAAAATGCTACAATCAGACCTTGGCGTCACAGTAAAACTACAGGGTTTCAGGAAGCAGGGGTGAACATGCAATCTATAACGTTTTTTGGATATATTCATAGACTTTATTTAATCTGACTCATCTAGGAATTCTATTCATGTATAAGGGTGATAAGCATAAGGGTTCTTCATAGCAAAGGAAGGGAACTAAGGATCTTCAGATGATAAAAAGTAACACCCTACTTCCCCAATACCAATTCTTTCTCCTAGTCACCAAACTAGACCTGAAAACTTTGCATTCCTTTCTCAATTTTGAAAAGCATAGCTTTTCAGCTTTCAGTCACAGTCCAAGTACTTTTTCAGTCCAAAGTTTTCCTTTTGAACTAGTAACTTAAACAACCATGATTAGTTTCTAAGATAGAAAACTGAAAATTATTTTACTTAAGGTCCATCTTCAGCCACTGCTGAGGTAACCTGCACTAACTGCCACTCCAGGTCTCCTCAGCTTGCAGAAAATCAAGAAAAAACACCTAAGAGTTTTTTAACTCTGTAAGAGTTAGCTCTGTACACAGCTGAGAATATGCTGTACATATCTGTGCTTCGTTCACCCTGTCATGCATAAACACATATCACTAGCTTGACATTTACTCAAATTGTACCTCCTGAGGAAAACAAAAATTGAGAAATATGAAGAGCTACATATATCCTGTCTGTGAGGATCTTACCAGTGTCAAACCCCTTTAGTTCCTGAAGACTAATTAGACAATATCCACTGCTTTTTATGGATGTTCAGTTTGCTCATGTATTTCCTGACCTGGACAAAAGAATACCCACCCTAGTCTCCAGTCTTGATAGTAAAGACTTTGGCAAAGGCAGCATTCAAATATTCAGCCTTTTCCATGCCCTGGAGCTGTGTAACCAGGTTCCCCATGACATTTTCCATAGACATTTTATTTTTCTTTTATGTCTTCCGTGTACTTACAGAAGTCCTGCCTTTGGCATCCCTGGACAGAAGCTATTCCATTTGGGCTTCAGCTTTCCTAACTTTAAGCCTGGATGTTCATTGCATGTTTCTATATTTCTCCCAGGTTATTCATCCTTGCTTCCAGTCTCTGTGTTTCTATTTTGTGTTTGAGTTTGGCAGGAACCATTTTTTCTTGATGTCTTATTCATTATGAATGAGCTCTCTTTACCTTGTAGGAGGTGATCTTTGAATATTAACCAGCTTTCTTGAGTCTCTACTTCATTCCAGGACCTCATCACATGGAATCTTTCAATGTATGAAAGGTATGCTTTCAGAAAGATGCAGCCTTTTCATTGCTAGTAAAAGTAGCCTCTATTCTTTTTCTATTTCTGTGTTTTCCTCGGGTACTAGTATTTACTTGACCAAGGGAAAATTATCACAAAAATGTTCTTCTAGCTTCTGTAAAAGAAAAAAAATATCTCTCTTTGCTGTGTTCTTCTGAGACAACATCTTTGACTGAGTTCAAATACCACAGAAACTGGAATCCATTAGACTCCAGAGCATTGCCAAAAAATATATGTTGGACTACTGTAGCAGCCACCTGTGAATAGAGTTGAGCAGCTGTCAAAAAAGAGAGTTGCTCCTAAAAGGCAATCTTATGTCAGAGACACAAATCTAGAAGTCTGAAGAAAACTGGGGAATTACCAAAAACAAAATTCTCTTACAAATGTGTTATGAAACACTTTTTCAAGCTCAGTTGAGAAACAGTGAAAATACATTTAATCAGTGTAATTGACTACAAATTAAAGGAAAGGCTGCCAGTGTAGAGCAAGCAGCTGCAGTGAATCCATGAAAAGAAAGTCAAATGATGACTTACAGGTTACTGCGTGATTCATAAAAGTTATTTATAACACCCGTTTTTCATTAAAGCAAAACACCAGAAAAAGATAGCCTGAACTAACCTTATAATAAATTCAGGTAAAAATGGCTGTGCCAAAAAAACCCACCAGGTTTATTGAGCACATTGGCCCAATTTTTAAAGGGTGTGGTGATGTAGGATTTTAATCACTGTGCTCTATGCTTTAATAAAATTAGCAAATAAGACATATATTTACAGTAGTTCAGCAATTTTGAAAGTTAAAGTCTGTAAGCCATAACTGAATACTGTTAATATATTGTCAATAGTAACAATATAAGTCTATCTTTCAAAATTAACTGGCAGGTAATTTAGTGACATTTACCAACAGTGGTTACCTAAATTTAAGTCAGTTAAAAATTTTCTCTCACACAGAAGAGACAATATACCCTGCATCACAAATTGTAATTCATATTCCTTGAAACTATCCAAAAACTGTTATCTAAAACACTTTGTTGAACCCTAGGATTAGTTTTATTATCCCAGTTATGTATTATTCTTTATTAAGCATAAACAGTAAATACAAAAGGGAAAGCCAAGAGGAAAAATCTTACTTCATGATAACAATTGTGTTCTTTTCATTTTAAGGTAAAATCAGAGAGAAAATTAGCCATTCTCTCTGATACTTATTAATAGATATATTACATGTATTACTAGAACCTACCTGATCAGATAGAAAAAGAATCTTATTGTTTTGTGCTGTTTTTATGGTTGTTTGTTTCCATGTACACTTAAGAGGGAAGGTTAAATTTAAAAGAGGTTTTCTTTATGTAAAATTGTACACGACTGCTTTTGAGGCTTTTGATACGCTTTTCTCTTGAGACACTTGTGGGAGCCTAGGCTCTGTAACCAGAAGCTGAAAAGAGGTCCCACCAGAGGCCAGAATATACTAGGACACGGTGAGAAGGCTGACCCAAAGTCAGTGAACTCAGTGTGACTTAAACTAAGAGCTCCCCTGAATGGATCACTGAGGAGAAAGCCTCACCTGAAATCTTGGCTCTTGCTTACCACATTTCTTCCCCAGGACATTTTCTCACTTTGCCTTTTCCAGGTCTGCCCACATCACAGGTTGAGGTGATGGATCCTTGTGACTGTACTTTCACAAGAAGAAAGGAATATAAGGAATATAATATCATATCATATCATATCATATCATATCATATCATATCATAATAGAAAGGAATATAATATTATTTATGCTGCCTTTAAGGAATCATAGAATAGTTTAGGTTGGAAGCGACCTTAAAGATAATCCAGTTTCAACCCCAAGCCCAAATTATCTTTTTTACTTGAGGCTGTCAAACTCTTATACCGCAACCTTGTCCATAAGCAGTAAGAAACTCAAGCCACAGTGGGCCATGAAGAGACCAGAAGGAAGAATTATCCCACTAGTACCAACAGAGTGAGGAGGATATCCTACCTGGAAAAGAAATTTTGAAATGCATTCAGTTAAGAAATCTCAGTAACACACATCATAACATTCTGAAACACAGAGATTAAAGACACCAGGGCTCGGCTAAGAAGATATTTCTGCCACACTTCCAGCATGTCATGAGCAGAGGATGAAGGACTTGCTGCAGACTTTGGGCTGACAGCATTTACAGTACAGGTAATTGATATGTTGGAGTGGAAACCTGCAACATTAATGAATGCATCCTAAACAAACATTTTTTTTCCTTCGTGGGGTTGCTCTTTCCAGTGCAAAGGGCTTCTACTCTGAGAATAGCAAGAGCAGCAGTCTCAGTCTGTCCAGCAATAGCTTCTTCCCATTGTCTAGGAGAGCTTTTAACTTTCTGTGTACTTGTTCCTTGAGAGGAAAAGAGGCATATCCCTGCAGCTCTGAGTAACTGCACTGACTTTCTGAAGGACCTTTATGCCTGATGCTTCTTGGTTGTTTCTTCATTTTCACCTGGTCAAGCAAAAATGTTTTCCTTCTTCTCTCATGGTAAAAATAAGTCAGAATTCTCACTGATTATTTTCACAATAAAATATATTCCAGTTAATGTGAATACACTCAGACAGGGAGGGATAATATACTTGGACAAGATACCAATTTAATCTAATGGTAATGATTATTGTTTAATTGGGATAAGTTAGTGTAAATTCCACCCAACAGTCAGCTGGTGCCAAAGAATTGCATAGTGCTCAATTAAGTGTTTAATCAAAACAGATTCCCTATATTATGTCAATTAATAAAAATTAGGTATAGCCGATTAATAATAAAATAATAACCAGAAAAGTATAGAATTTATGGCACAAAGTTTTCCAAAGTACTGAATGAATGAATACTGTATAATTTGTAAGGCAGAAGTTACCATCACAAATTATAGGAAGAGAAACACAGATCAAATAAGAATCTGCTGATATACACTGAAGTGATGACAGTGTAAAGATGGAAATGCACAAGAGTTTTGTTTACCAGATACAAGTATCCTTTACACAACATGGGCTCTGCAAAGGAACGTGCTGTGAATGGTTTGGGTTACAAGGAACCCTTAAAGGCCCTCTCATTCAACTCCTCTGCAATGTACAGGGACACCTTCCACTGCTTCAGACTTCTCAGGACCCTGCCCAACATGACCTGGAATGTTCCCAGGGATGAATCATCTACCACCTCTCCGGGCAACCTGTTCCGCTGTTTCTCCACCTTCACTATAAAAAAATTTCTTCCTTATATTTAGTCTGAATATACCCTCTTTTAGTTTCTACCTCTTGTCCAATCACACATTCCCTGTCTATCTCATAAGCCCCCTTTAAGTATTGAAAGGTCACAGTAAGGTCTCCCTGAAGTCTTCTCTTCTTCAGGCTGAAGAGCTCCCACTCTCTCATCCTTTCCCAGAGGAGAGAACAGAGACTTCACAGCCTCACCATGCACCCATAAGAGGTCAGGAGAAAGAGGAGGGTATAAGTACAGTTAACTGTTTTGTATATAACTGTTATATACTGTATAAATTATCTGTTCTTGTTGGTTTCACTGCTTTTAAAAATTGTCTTATACAAGAGCTACCTAGATGCAAGTGTATTCACATTTAGGGGAATGAAGCCAAACCTATGTCCATTAATGCCTCTTTTCCTTGGTCACAGGCCCTGACTGGAATGGCACAGAACACATAAGAAGCAGCTGTGGTGCTTCAGAAAGAACTTTTTAGTTCCCTCCTGCCATCAAAAATGGAGATGTGGGGGGGAAGAAAGAGATGAATGAACATATCAATGTTTTCAGGAAAATGAGACTTGCTGCTTCTGCTACTTCAGTCATAACGAGGCTGGCCTTACAGGATTTCAGTTATAAGAAAACCCCTGTCAATACAAACACAGTTCTTAGATTGCTCCGCTATTCAGGTTTTCCACACAGCAATTTTACTTTTGCTGTGCCTAAAGACAATTTAGTCTAGGCAGTTGGCTAAACTGGAGAAGTTGAAAATGGGATTTACTCTCCTTCCACATCAATGCAGGCTGGCCTGAGGCTGTTTTCAAAGGTATTATGCACATTTCCTCTGTGTGGTAATCTTGTTAGCTTTCAGATAATGAGAATCACACTCTACACTGCACCTTTCTCCAACATAATACAGTTGTATGACAGGACATAATAAGTGATTTCTGTGATGAGGACCTCTGATGCGAGACAATTGGCCCAAGTATCATGTAGTTTTAACAAGCTACTGCAAGGTATTCAGAAACAACATTTCAGCTAAAACATCTATCTTCATTTTTATCTCGGACCATTATCAATGCTGCTGCAGGTATAAATTCATCCTGCTCTACAGACATTTATACTAGTTTCTTCATTGCAGTGGCTTTGCTCCATCAAAGCTTTAATAGCATACTTTATATTTTTTCTCCTCTCTTTGTCTCTTTTTTCTTGAAGAGATTTCTTGTTATCAAATTGATGTAAAAATACTTGTCATCAAATTTTTCAAAGAACTACATACTATCTAAAATTCATCCTGACACAGAATCATCTTATACTTCTGGATTTGAGATGGATGGTGGGAGGGGGTAGAAAGGAAAGGAAAACAAAATGAAAGAAAACAACCAAACAAAAAAATCCAAGTGAGCCACTAACTAGTGAAATGTAATGAGTGAAATTCAGATTTCTGAAGATTCACCAAAAATGACACTACATCTAATATTTCTGTATGCATTGATTTTCTGGGTTTTGTTTTAGTTTTAGATTTAAACAGTGAACTCCACTGCAGCTAATACATAATAAATCAATGTCATCTATAATGACATATGTATGCTGGCAAACAGGAATACAGCCAAGCAAGCTCTTTTACTCCTACCCTTTTTAGTAAAACACTCTATGTAATTCTTTTGCAGAAGTGAGGTGTATTTTTTATTTTCAGAGATTGCTAGCTCTTCAATTTGTGATTATTTTAACAAGATCGATTGATTGTAAGGAAATTTAAGCATTACTTTCTGAAGGACTCTTGTAAAACCCTTCTACTGATACAAAAATGAGCTCATGTTAATGGTTTTATTAGTCATTTCTGTCAAATCAAATACCTTCTGCTATGGAACAACAATGCCCTTTAAAGACTTAGAAATACTTTACTGCTTTCAGTTTTCATTACTGCAGTGAATTTTCCAACAGAATTAATTCAAAACTTGATCTAAATGCATTTCACTAACTAGTTAGATTATGAACTTATTGATTTGCATAGCAATCCTAAAGCTTGTTCTTCAGCCTTTTTACAGAAAATAAAAATAAGCAAAGAAAACCAATCTCAACAACATTTTGTCCTTGACAAAAGTCATACTTGGAACTATGGAGAGATTATGATCCTATGGCAAGGGTTATAGGTCAGAGTAAAATTCTATTAAAAACCCCTTCAATATATAGTGTTGAGGAGTGTTCATCATCATAGTTTCTGAGAAATGTCTTTGTTAAATGACAAACAATTCCAGTGTATTTGTTCTTTTATACTCTTCTTGTGCTGAAGAATTGTATGCAGTTTTAGAGCTCTTAAATCCTGTAAACCATACCTTGCTATATGCTTGTTATGGATAGTAAATCTAAAAGGGTGTTTAAAGTAGGAGGTGTGCAGTATTGGCCCTCCACACCATCATAAAGTGGTTTGGATTGGAAGAGACCATAAAAATCATCTAGTTCCAAGCCCCCTGCCACACCTTCCACTAGACCAGATTTCTCAAAGCCCCATCTAATCTGGTCTTGACCACCTAGACAGATGAGACATCAATCACATCCGCCAAATCCCAGGAATGAAACAGGAACAATCTGATCTTCAGTCTTACACTTTCCCAACTGCTCTTGTTCAGGTCTTAAAATGCTTCTCATCATCCTGAGGTGCAGCCTCTGGACAGACAAGGAAAATTGCTTTTTTTTAGAAAATCACAACTGCAATGAGTCTTTTGAGCAGAGAATTTTTTTATCATTTAGTTACTTCTGTGCACTGCTTTCAGTTTCTAGTAAGCCTCCTGTTAAGGAAGGAGATTCAGCCTGATGCTTGAGAGAGGACAAGAGGATAGGAAGACTTTTCTGATATAATAGCCATTGTTGTTAAGGAGGTGTACTGTAGTCCTCCCTAAGTGCTAAGAGTTTCATGGCAATATATACTATACAGTTATATAGCTTGAAAAGTGACAAACCACCAATAACTGAGACTAACTATGATAGGACAGAGTCCTCTAGCCAGCCAGAAATGACAGGAGACATTGCTTACAGATACAGTTATGTCAGTGGAGACTCTAGCTTTGCTTATCTGTTAGAAAAGTAGACTGGTTGAGAATGTGCACCTTCTAAGTAAGAGTGCTGCACCAGAGGTAAAAACTTAAGTTTTTTCTTTGTCCTACAATAGAACTTTTGCATTGCTCAGACTTGAATTCTGAAAATCTGTTTTTTATCTTTGAACTGCCTATGGCCTGTCTGCAGTGTAATAAATCAATGTGATGCCGGGTAGGGTAGGAAGAAACTGTCTAGTACTTGTAAGTCTAGATGCAAGTTATAGGCACTGGTAAACCAGGAAATTGACTAGAATCTTTCCAGGTTCTCATGACTACTTTGTCGTTGACAGAAATAATGCTAAAATTTATATAAAGTATATAATATATATAAATATATATAAATATA